CAAAGCATGGATAAAACTTATATTATAGCATTTGCAAAAAACGTTCTCAGTGCAATTCCAGGAATTCTAAATTATAATATTGAAGTACCAAAACTGGATCCATGCCAGTTATGTGGACAAGAGTTTATTCCGCACCCCGCAAGTAATATCAAAGAATTTACCTTGGCCAGTTGTGGGCATATCTATCATCAAAAGTGCCTCGAATACCATCTGCTAACTGTGGAAGTGAGATGTCCAAATGTGGGATGCAGATACAAAGATATCGAAACCTCCCTCACTTCAGCTATTAATGAGACAGGGTCGCAGGATCCAATGGAAATATCACCACAAATCTCCACAGAAGGACCTAACTAGCATTATGTCTGGAAATAAACGAGATCTTCCATTATTTGAGAGCAACACTGATATTGGTCTTACTCAAGCTTTACAAAATAAAGATGTCTCCTCTTCACCCAAAAGTGCTATTGAACCAACTCTTGAAATATGCTCCAAGTGTTCCGAAGCCATCTCTCCAGAACGTTCAAAACCAATCGTATTATTAACATGTAAACACGTTATCCATTTCGAGTGCATTGGCAACAAGCGTAATTTATGTCCTAAATGCCCATCGGCAGATGATTTAGAAAAAGAAGGATATTATATCTCACCTGCTATCTCAATTAACGAAGCTCCCAAAAAGAAAAAAGAAGAAACCGGAAGATAACACCCATGAAAATAAGCCTAAAAAGATCTCGAAACCGCAAGCCATAATTCGAGAGTTATCGGTCGTACTAATTTCTGATGAAGCATCAATCACTATACCTCCCGAAGATTCCAATGTGGAAGGAATATCCAATAAATTCCATCGCCTATATTGTGAAGTTGATGTCATTGAAAAGAAGGGGGATCGAACAAATCGGGAGGTGATTCATTATTATTTTCAGTTTGGGAAAGCACTATCAGAGCGCCTCACTGTGTTGTTAAAGAGCAAGCCTCCGCAAACAGCATATACTGATCTAAACAGTGAAGTTAAAAAGCATCTCCCGAAAAATCTCAATAATGCTATGATACGTAAAAGAACAGATACTGCTAGAAAAATTTATGATGTGTTTAGCAAACTTGGTGAAAATAAAATTCAGCGGGTTAAATCATTTACTGCATCTAGCTTTTCTGACTTAACTAGAAGTGAGGTTAAATATATCATGGAAAATTTTTCCTCTGATGAATAGTAAACTACAATTTCGTCTCATACTCAATCATGTATATTTACTGCGCCATAGTCACGTGATACCGTTCTGATCCAGAACACCCTTTCACACTTAAAAATTTGAAAAATAAAGATTGTGAAATCCTACTTCTGCGGTATTACTGATAAAACGTTTTATGGATTGCGAAATTATATTAATATATTTTATTAGCATATTGTAATCCCATTATTTGATTTTTTTCCACGAATAACATATCGTGATGCATTGTTACATGTGTCTAGTTAAAAATTCGATCGTCGGATGTGATTTATGCAACCCCATGTGATCGCGGAAAATGATTTTGTTAAGTATATATCAGCTAGCTTTACTAATTATTTATCGCAATAGCGAATTTCCATATTTCACGAATTCGTGCACACGATACATATATTTTTTAGCCAGAATCGGTAATGCATTTGCTGTATCCTTGGCAGTAATAATATCAATAATCGCTTCGGGTGATAAGCGGGTCGCACCTGATCTTAATCTTCTAAACATTTGTATACGTACCATTTTGGAAAAAATTTATTTCGTATTTCGCAAGTGATAATAATTAAGTGTTAATCCGCATGCATGCCACAAGGGAGCAACCCCATGTGATCGCGGAAAAAATAATATATGCAGTCGCTAGATTAATAACATGTTGCTGTTATAAGCAAAGTGTCTACAGTATTAATAATGATCGCATTGTAACAAGCTATCAAGAAATTACATTAAATACAACGTTGAATTTCAAGTTAAGGGCGAGAAATTATATCAAGTACAATGGTGAAATTAATTGTCAAACCACATCTAAGGACTAGGTGTTCATTCCAGTCCATTCTATAATAAACCGGAGTGCTATTCACATCCCACAAATGGATTATATATGGCGCTCTGGCAGGTATTTCAGGAGTTGGAGTTGCAGGTGTCGTAACTATCCAGGGATTTGGGTTCTGGTGAAATGGATTGACTGCATAAGGGATAGCGATTCCGACATATTCGATATCGGTCAAGTATTGCCGACGAATTAAGTCAATTTTAGATAAAGCATGACTACGATCGGGATCTCTGTTATAGAAAACCTAATTGGATTCGAATCGATAAGCAAAACTGTACATTTTTTTTCAAAAAAATTTTAATACAATTACCTCTATCCATACGTTTGGAGGTGGGCACGAGTTGGCAATGGGTCTTGAATTTTGTGCAAACGTTAGGGTCCGAAACCAAATACCAACGTCAGGTCGAAAATTATTGCCTCCCATCACACATATCATATCGATATTTACATCCCAAGCTGAATTGTGCATCTCAGCTGAATTTGTTAGTTTGTAATGGATTTTTGTCTTATGACCTCCATCATACTATATGAAATCATTAAATTAATAAATGATATGTATACTGTGGTGTGTAGGCTATAATGAAACTTACTTTGATAAATAAGTCTTTCCCAATTATCTCAGTATCATATCTTTCATGTATCGCTTCGCGGATATTAATATTATCCAATTCATAAGTGGAAAGACTAACCTTGGAGACATCTTCCTTTTCCTCCGGCATTAATGATTCCAATGATTTATCAATATACGCAAAGATCTATTGTATTGCAGTCATTAGTCATATTTTCTGACATTATTATAAACACTACTTAGATACCATATCAATTATACCATATTAATTTGAGAGGTTTGTCTAGTCTCCCGGGTCACCGTAGATGTTTCTGAACCTTCTAATTTGATGCTCATATTGAAAGATTGATTTGATTAATTCGATGGATTCAGGAAACAAGTGAAAGAGAAAATAAAAATAAAATTGTACGAATCGCTTTTATACCCATATTTTTTCTATTATCTGGTTATTCAGATTATTACGCAATCTTTTATCATTATACTGGAAATTTCGAGAACTTTATTACGGTCAATGTGCCTGAGTTTAAAAATCTCAAATTAATAAAGTAACGGATTTTATATGCGGTGACATGTGAGCGTGACCGCTGTAATACAATTGTTGATAATAATAACCGGCATCATCATCAGAAAATATTGCACTTATATAATCATTTCCAGGAAAACTTGAAGACTTTGAGTCCAATGTATTTTTACGCTGAAATATAAATCATATATTAAAGTAAACAGTGCTAATAGATGAAGTAACGAAAAAATATGAGTTATATATTAAACACTTGTCTGCAATTTGTATATTAAGTTTTAGATATTATGGATTGAAAATTTGGAACGCTTGATTAACGAAACACTTAATTTTTTGTATTCTTTCCGGAACAACCTTTTCTGGTTTTTCATCATACCATACCTCAAGTAGGAAAATTCCGTTATCTTGACATACACATCTTTTTAACCGATCACGATTAACAATATCCTCAAGTTTTTTAACATCTTTATACCAGCTAGTGTGATGAAGTCGATGTTGGGCCCCTTGCACCTCTAATGCGATTCGATGTTTTTTAAAAAAGGCGTCAAATTCTAATCCATTCAAAAAAGGAGGCCGATACTCAATTAT